CCGAGGTCTGCTCTGAATTCGCTTACTCCAACGTTGGACCATCTTGTAACCGTAAGTTGAAGGACTCCGATATCTTTGAGAATTTTGAGTAGGTATATCATGAAATGCCATAGCACAGGGGTCTCCAAACTACGGCCCGCGACAGCTTAAGATTAAGCCTATGTTTGCATAGGTGGGCAGAAACATTAAAATTGTTATGGCCCTTGCAACATACTGAAAAAAATATTATGGCCCCAAGGCTTCAAAGTTTATGGTAAGCTTTGGTGTTATAGTTCCAAAATACTGAACTGTCCTATGCATGACATTGACAGTGGGGCGCCACCGTCAATACCGGATCGCTGGTTCCGATTTTTGCCATGTTGGAAACCATATAGTTGAACGATGGTAGCGCCCCCCTGTCATTGAGTTTGGCGGGACAGTTCAGCGTGGCTCATCTATAGACGACGCGACTATTGAATGATTGTTATAGATGACCCACGCTGAACTGTCCCGCCAAACTCAATNGGCTCATCTATAGACGACGCGACTATTGAATGATTGTTATAGATGACCCACGCTGAACTGTCCCGCCAAACTCAATGACAGGGGGGCGCTACCATCGTTCAACTATATGGTTTCCAACATGGCAAAAATCGGAACCAGCGATTCGGTATTGACGGTGGCGCCCCGCTGTCAATGTCATCGACAGGACAGTCCAGTATTTTGGAACTATACGATCAATGTAAGCAGTATTTAGTCAAACATACATTATGAAGCCGTCTGAGGTCCCTGACATAGACAAATACAGTTACTGTTGAAAACACTTATAAACCTTTGTTTTAGTGGCAATGTTTCCCAGATTTCAGCAGCAAACGATGCTTCGAGAACGCTACCTGGGATCCCCAGACGGACTATTCCACGTGCAGCATCACGCCTCGCCTGCTCCGGCGATATCGCTTCCATATCGCTATGCTGGCGTTTTCCATCGCCTCATGTCTGCCAGCTGTCATCATATTCTTCATGTACAAGCGGCTGAGAATCACGAGAGTGGCTCTTCATAGGAACTTACTGATCGCCATCATAGTGAGGAACGTTCTCGTCATCGTCAGTAGAAGTGAGGTGAGGCTGAGTAATATATTTATATTGGATTAAAGTACATACATATATGCGTTAATGTTAGATACCAATTAAGGTTTAACTTAATACAGTGTTCCTTTCATTTGTAAATTACTAAAATATCATACGCCAAGGAAAAGACATCAACGAGTTAGCCTGGAAGAATTGACAAATATTTTTTTATTATAAATACTGTCTTGTCTCTACAGTCGAGGGAGAGGTTGTCTCTAGAATTTATTTATAATTTTATTTGAAGTATCAACACAATTTTAGTAGGTAACTTAGTAGGTACTTGAGACAGTTTCATGACTATTTTTGGAGACTGATACCTTTCCTAGTCGTAATAAATATGATGACCTGTGCCCCGATTACGCTAATTTTAACGTCTCCAATACAGACGCGCTTCTTCGATTCTGCGATACGGATTGGTCAAAACAGTTGACGTCAGCTGTATTGGAGACGTTAAAAATTACCGTAATCGGGGCTCGGTATAGCTTTGTGCCTTCCAAATAAAGTTGCTCACAATTTTCTTTACTCAATGTTTTAATATACCACTTTACAGATTTACATAGATGAAATAACAAATTCAGGGGACACGGTACTATCAAGCAACGGGTGGGCCTGTCGCGTTCTCGGGGTTGCAGAACGCATCGCAGCCAACGCAGTCTTCGTGTGCATGCTGGTGGAAGGCATCTACTTACATCGCCTGATCGTGGCTGTCTTTAAGCAGAACTTGAAGGTCAAATGGCTGTATCTTATAGGAGCTTGTAAGTGAGAATTTCATTTTGTTGTTAGCTATTAAACTTGGCTAAGAGAAGGCTATTATGACGCGGTTACATCGAACACAGAATTAATTTTGGAATCGATTTGGAAACCGATAATCCTATAAGTAGTTTATTTTATTTTATTTATTTAATAGGACAACCAACAAGACATACACTGGAAGACTAGTTTCATTAAAAGAGTGAAAGGAGTGAAGAATGGTTCTTTCTTTAGCTGGGCAACATATCATGTAGGTACATACGATAGATCCTTGACTTAAATGATTGTAAACGATAGCGAATCAAAATCGATTGACGATGTTAGTACTTGTCCACAGGAAAAGTTTTCAAGTTCCATTGAACTTGAACTTAGAGAAACCTGAGCAATGAAAACTGTCAATGAAGTAAAAAATAAACAAATAATTCCTTGATTAATCATAATTGTATTTCTTTAACAGTCATAGCCGTGCTCCCAGTGGTAGCATGGGCAGCTGTGATGGGCGTCTACAACAACCACTCCTGCTGGCTCATCTACACAGTGGACAATGTGCAGTGGATTCTAGACGCACCTAGGATACTCATACTGGTCATCAACACAGGCCTATTCATAGACGTGCTAAGGGTCCTGCTTACGAAGCTCAGAAACGCTGAGAATGCTAACCAGCTGTAAGTTTGGAATTTTGATTGGTGAATAATCTAAGGAGGCACTTTCATTTGTTTAAATTCAAGGTTATTGTGGCAACTTGTGAAATTGTAAGTAGCAGGATCTATGCTGAGCTTATTATGTAATAATGACTACTGAAACGTTATGTGGGAGGACATATTTATTGCTTCCTTGCACAGACCAGTGAACGAAAATGTTTACTTTTTTTGTTTTATCCTTTATTTTTAACCATAGTATATTTTTATTTAAATCATAAATGGCTGATGGCCTACATTTTGTGGTTCTAGCTAGACTGTTCAATTTTTTTTTCAGGAGTACGACAAAAGCAACACTATTCCTGATGCCCATATTTGGGACACAATTCCTGCTGACGGCATTCCGACCAAACACTACCAATTGCACGGGAGAGCAGATCTACTACTATGTGGCTTACACAGTCGAAGGACTACAGGGATTCATCGTGGCCATGCTTTACTGCTATGTCAATAAGGAGGTAAATAAAGCAAATATACTGTGTGGACATCACAAGTTCATGAATCATAAAAATTAAGGCAAATATTTTGGATAGTGTTTGCAGTATCCGATCTTTAGAGTTTACAAACTTTGGTAGCCCTGAGTAACTTACCTTCTCCTGCGACGAACATCGAGAATTCCGAAAGGAAGTTGCTTCAGTATTGCCAATGTGAACCTTGAAACATATCAATTAAGAAATTGCATCTTAAAATTCTAAATTGTTTCAGGTTCGCATGTTACTCAAAACAACGTATAGGAAGACTGAATCAGCGGTTGTTTCACGCGTACGACGTGACTCCGCTTATCCACGTATGAGCATCGATCCGAAATCAGATAGGCGATTCACCTACAGCACCGCTCTACCTCCGCAAAACGCAGACGACCCCAAGGACCAATACGCAACCATAGCCCCCAAACTGCACGTCGCCGAAATAATATCGATACAAGCCAGCGAACGACTAGCTGATATACTAGAACCAGTTTACGAAACCATAGAAAATGGCGTAATCAACGAAGGCTACGATTCTTTAGAAAGGTCCAGCGTAGATAATGACTCAGGGTTCATTGCGAACAGGGATTCTAAAGGAGACAACTACTACGGATTCACTAACGTCTCGAGCGTGTCGATCGATTGCCAAGACTGGATCAAGTGCATATCTTCACCATCTAGTAGCGTGTACAACAATTCACTAAACGACTACGAAACAAGATACTTGGAAAGAAGATTCCCCAACCATCCTAAACCAAAACTTATAGCCGAATCGAGAAGAAGATTGTCGGAAAATGCGGATGTAACCGGGCTTGGGAAAAAATGGTCATCAAGTTGTGATGAAAAACTGAGAGAGATAGTTGAGGCCAAAAAAAGGTTGTCTCTATCATGTGATGATAGACCGAAGGATATCACTGAGTTCGGAAAACGATTATCAGTACAAGAAGTAATAACAGAATCAGATAAGTCGATTGAAAATGTTAATACTGATGATAATAAAGATCTAAAGGAACCCGATTTGGAAGGTATCGATAACGAATCCGATTATGAAGACTGTGACACGATGCTTGAAGAAATATTGCAGTACATCGAAACAAACGACAACAATGTTGCATTAAATCCTGAGCTTCTTTCTCCGAACAGGAAGGATGATGAGAAAATCGTCTTTGTAGATGAATGAATTAACCTATTTAGTTAATAACACTTTATTATTTATCATTAATTTATAAACATGAGTTGTTATTTAATTAGTAAGTTACAAAAAATATAGTTCGCGCAACGAAACTTCCGATTAAGTATCGAGGGTTCTACAAATGCAGTTCATGTGTTTAAAAATATATTAATGAGCAAATTACTTATTTAAATATATCTTACTTATTTTTGTTTGAGTTAATACAGTTTTTGTTTTAAATTCGACTTAATTTATTGCAATGCAATTTTGACATCCTGCGACTATAAAGAAACAAGTTGTAAATACACCCACAGACGTTTCTGGTATTATAAAGTGCACTTCATATTACATTGAGGTATAGTCCAGTCAATGAATGCCTTAACGACGGTGTAGAGAGAAATCCGTGGAACACAATTTCTGACCTCGGGACTTTATTTAACCTAGTTAGATGGTGAACATAACAAAAGTCCCCGCCCTTAGCCCTTGAGCCGGCGGGGAGAGGGGGGTTTAAAGGTACCACTTTTCGGTTTTTCGCTTAATCCTCGGAAACTATGCGTCCTAGNTAGCAAATTGAATATGCTTTTTTTGGTTCAAAGTAGTCATGTCACTAGGACGCATAGTTTCCGAGGATTAAGCGAAAAACCGAAAAGTGGCACCTTTAAACCCCCCTCTCCCCGCCGGCTCAAGGGCTAAGGGCGGGGACTTTTGCTATGTTCACCTCCTAACTAGTCTAAATAAAGTCCTGAAGTCAGAAATTGTGTTCTACAGTTTTCCATCTATAATGCTTTATTGACTGGACTAGTAGTTACACATTTACGCAACATACACATACTGTTTCGGCATGCCTAAACCGCCGAGCAAACATTAATTGATCTGTCAACTCGTTTCAAATGTTGGTCCTTTCGAAGCGGGCTTACAAAAGCGAGCGGCGCCGCGGTCTCGCGCGCAGTCTACTATCGAGTGTATTAACAGTCGGTTACCAAAAATTACTTGATCTAAACAGTATGCTATCTAAATTGTTTGTGGTGTTAGTTCTGTGTTGGGGAGTGCAGAGTTTCCCGGATGGTGCGCCAGTGGACGCGTGCGTGAAGGATCGTCCTAACCAGCCGAACCACGGGCAGCATCGGTCGCAGCCGCTAACCACCCTGCCCTATAGGGTTGTGGCTTCTTCGTCGGCTTATGGACCTAACACTCCAATTACAGGTAAAAGTGGTTGATAACATACGGCTGAGATAATCCCTGATGCATCCACAACCGTTAAGGAATCTTCTCGTAAATAAATGTGAAGCATTATAGACTCCTTCTTCTACTAATCTAGATATTATCAATAGGAGTTTATTATTGAAACTTATTTAAAAGCTATACCCATAAGTTTATTGGAAGTATTGGAATAAAAATTCGCAACAGGGTACTTTACCTAATTAACTAAAAAAATACGAAGCTCTAACTAAAAAACCAAAGCCCGTATTGTCAAACGATGCTCGAAAATGTTATTATACAGGCTTGAAAATTTTCTTGAATGTTGATTCACACTTGAATGTTTGCTTTTCTTTTGCCAAGGAATGGATTTTTTAAAAAGAAAACTTACAGACGTACGGGTATTCCCTTATGTTTGTTCACGTGATCAACTCATTGATAAAAACACGCAATGAATGCCACAAGGCGAATCAAAGTTATCAATCGGTTCGAATCTTACTATGCTAACTGGACGCCATTGATAAAATCTGTAGCAACGAGTGCGTAATAGCAAAGCACATCCGCCCTTAGAGTGTATGTGGTCCACACAAGTTGTATTGCGCAAGCCCTACACTCATGGTATTGTAGGTCAGACAGCTTAAGCCAACTAGACCGGTTTAAGTATTGAACTGTCTGGTAAACAATATTGAATAAAAGTTATTTTTGTACTTAAAGGATGAATGAATCGAAGCAACCCTTCCTGTCCAGTCCCAGCTTCATTGTTATCGTTGTAAAACGCAACAAAAAGTATAAATTCTCACGCTTTTTACGTAAATATCTCTCAAGGTTATGGGGTGGCGAACTTAGAAGTATGTTTTGTAGTCGCAATTCAAGTTTTCTATCCATCTCTATAATTCAAAGCGATCTGCCGATATGGAAGACAAAGCCCCAAAAATATTTATGAGACGGTAGTGAGATGTCCTTCAGGCGTCCCAGAAGTTTGTTGATTTTGGAAATATCTAATTAAGTACTTTTACGTCTCATAATTATCTCATCTGAACCTTCGTCTATTCCAGTTACAATAGAAGGAGTGGAGCCTTTCAAAGGTTTCTTCATCCAAGCTAGATCCGTGGAAACTGACGAATGGCTGGGTTCATGGGAGCAGGCGCCAAATACTACCATTCATCCTGAGTGTGCAGCCATCACCCACGCTGACCCGCGGGAGAAGACCCGAGCGACCCTCGTATGGAAGGGACCAGCTAACTCGCAAGGCAGAGTGTACTTCACGTAAGTTCACTTTATTCATGAGTCAGTGAACATTATAATTAGACCACAGATATGAAAGGACTACTATCCAGTAGCTATTATGTGCGGGGGAGGAGCTCAACCCTTTCACGATCTGACTCTTTCGACTCAAGAGGTTCTTGGTACGATTCACATAGCGTAACATCACTACATTATGTGCAGGTGATCTTTTAGTAGAGTTTGGTTAGGGCGTTGCAACTTGGAATGCCCAAAACCCACAGGATAAAAGAAAATCAGTTATTGTTACCTGTGGTATTATTTTCGTGGTTCGAAAGGCAGATGCTATGATTTCCTCGACGAAAGTGTTTAATTTTGATTTTGGCTAATGGCTGCTAATGGGTTAAATTCAGTCAGACTTAATAAGGGCGTTGACCCGTGAGTCGCGTCTTAAAGTCTGTCATTAGCGCAACTCCTTTCACTCAAAGTATTGATGCAAGTTGTGCAAGGCAATTTAGCCGTCATGAGCACTTTACCTCGACCTTGGATGTGCTTCAGTTAATTACGTAATTTGAAGATGCATTGCTTTCTTTTTGCGCGTTTCTTCGGAGGAAAACCGTAGACAAAGCCGTAGACCAGTCAGCGACATGTGGGGCTTGTGTTCCGTGCATCTGAGGCTCAGCTACCTCCGGTGTCAGTGTGAAGTACTATTTTTGAGACACCCTGTATAGCATTATTTTACTGAGATATCCCCAACTTGAGCACGGACGCAGATCGTACAAAAAAATTGATTTTTAGCCACATATTTTTTCAGTTACGTCATGGAATAGAGTGCATTACCGCAGCAAAATTTTTATAAATGTTGTNTGATGGCCACAGGAACATCACTATACATGGACTCCCAGCAATAAAGTACGGTAACACGGTAATAATATCATACAGTATTGTAACTTCATATAAACCGACGAAACGCGAGTTTTCCTTCGAATTTCAAATCACGGGACGTGGCCGAGATCCAAAAGTTAGGGGTGTCGCGAATGTGCCGAACGGACGACGATGGCCTAGTGTTGAAAATGACTAAGGTGATTGAATTTGACTGACCGTCTTAAACGATCAAATTTGTCAAAAACTAGTTATTAACTGTCAGAAATGGTCATTTTCAGTCAGTTCGATTTGAAATGAAAATTATATTGTATAAAACCAGCTTTGGCCAACGACTTCGCCAGCCCGAAATTAAAGTAACAGGTCATTAAGTACTCATTATGATTAGTAGATTCAAAATTATTTTAGTATATTAAACTTTAAATAATCTATAGTTTTAAGGTTAATTTTGTATTTCTCTTGTAAGTGAATGTAATTCTTTTAGAGAAATAAATGTCTTAAACCATTAAACCATATTTTTTAAAATTAAATCTACTAATCACAAAACAACACGCATTATCCTATTCCATTCACAAAGTATTTTGTTTGTCTAAATAAAAAAAAAATTACAATCACAAAACTAGATAGAAATTCTTAGTAGACAGATGTAATTTGAATGGGTACTATAGGTGAGCAGCCCTATCGCATGTTGTCATACCGTGACGTACCGCGGGGCTGTTGACATTTATTTCAAAAATATGGCCGAGTTGGAATACTGTATAGATAGTATTACCGTGACGGTAATGCCTCGTACAGATTTTATCGGCAAAAATTATGGAACTTGATAGGTTTAGACCATGCCACGTACCAAAACGTCCGGAAGTTGTAATAGTATTATAGAATAAACGTTAAAAGACTTATTTATTTAATTTTTCAATGCTTAAGTGTCCATTAGAACGAAAGGGTGCTTAATGTATTAAAAAAAATAGAAAATAATTATGATGGGTTAATGTTTTTTGGCGGTTTTTTAGGCGGTTTCTGACAATGTCCTTGCTATTCGTGGACAAATTACTACGCAACAAAAGCTATCTATCCATGTATTTGGTTCCGGGATAGAACGACTTTCAAAAAAAAATCTGTTTTTTCCTAATAACTTTAAAACTATAATTTGAACGAATTTTGCTATTAGTGGACAAATTTCTGCTCACGATGGACTAATTATCTGCTATACTCTCGACTCTCTAAAGCACAACATTTATAAAAATTTTGCTGCGGTAATGCACTCCATGGAATATTAAAAAATGCTTTCAACTTTTTTGCAGGGGAACCGTTTTGAAGAACTACGGCACTTTCTGGGCGAATCTGATCGCAGAGGCGCCCCAGGAACCCGCCCAACTTCAGTTACTTGGCTGATGTGTTGTGGTGAATATTGGTTTAATAAGAGACTGTTGTCACTATGTGTACTCTGATTATAAGTATTGTACTAGTTTTTATTTATTAGAAATACAAGTGTTCTTGATTTTAAGTTTTAGATGTACAAATAAAAAGAAAGAGATTAGTATAAATAAGTTTTATTATGTAGAGTTAACATAAATGCTTTTCGCAGAGTTCATTTCATTGAATAAATACAAAAAATACATTATAGAGCTGTTAAAATATGTGGATATCTGTTAGTTGCATAAAGTAGCATACAAGGCTCCAGCCTTGACTGGACGCATTCACACGATTCTAGAGATTCGTTTCACGTTACGTCGTTATTACGAGTATTAAAATGCTCTAACATTCTGTGCGTTACACATAAAAAAATAATTTCAATAAGGCACTAAGCAGCAACTAAAACGTCGATTAGACATTTTGCGGGAAGGTTAAAGCCGTATGGTAATACATTTTCGATTACGATGGAGTCTTCTGTTTCATTACTGGCCTTTTGATGTTCATCAGATCGCAAAGGTCGTTTCTAATCGGCCTCAGTTCAGCTACGTCCTTTTCCCAGTCCGTTTCCGCGAGTATGGACATTATCTAGAACAAATAACTACTTTAGTATTTCTTACTAAAATAATATTCAATATGCAGTATACAATGAAGGTCATATTGAAGTACGTAAGAAATATGTCATACCTAGATGACTTATCTATTGAAACGATTTATTTATGAAACGGAGTTGAAACTAGAATAATCTACGGTCGGACGTTTTTACGAGCCTAAATATCTAGTTCACTTAAGTAAGTCCATTTACCTCTTTAAAATTGAATAACACAGTTATGTATTATTATAACGTTTTTATAATAAACTTAAAACGCCACGCGGAAACAAAAGTGTGACGATCATCAAATCGGCGCGTGACGAATGATTGTTTTGCTTTTGGTAGAGTTGGTCGTGAGTTCATAATGATGCTAGTCGTTAACGGTCACACTTCACACATAATTTAATTAGCTACTGTTATGTAACTGATGTCATGTGGACGATTATTACTGAATTATCAAAAAAAAGAAACAGATTGTGGTCACGTTTTGCCACAACAAGGATTAATTAAATTATTTATGTTATTTGTTATATTTCAAACCATTCCTGTAATTAGTAGTTGACTTTATTAGCCAAAAGATAAATTATGTAAATAAATTGATATAATTCTCCATAAACGGAATTTCCGATTTTTACTGTATCTCCAGATAACCGCTGGGATAGCCTACATTTTGATTACGCAATGCCAAATGCCTTTATCCGGATATCAGGCAATGACAATATGGATTCCCTATATTACGAGTATAAACTCTAAAACAATTTTAAAAACTATGACCGTTAAAACGGTTAAAACATTGTGAATGTGTTAATTGTAGGTGGAAACGGGACGGATGTCTCGAGCTGACCTAAGGACTTGCTGCTGACGCAATCACCCACATACATAATACAAATTAGACTCTAATGACTAGAGAATGCTACATAACTGACCTGCTCAATGTTGTCAGCAGCCACAAAGCGTCGATGTAGCTTCACTTAGCAGTCTGCGTAGTACCACAGGTAGTACCGGTATAAATGATGAGCTGACCTAACGATTTGATACTGACGGCACTGCCTACCTAAGGATACCTACATACTTAACATTTTATAACAACGCAGCTGACATGGTCGATGGCTCGATGCTGTCAGCGGGAAAGTAAAGACACCGCAGAGCATCACAACTTGACGTAGGGATTTGCTGCTGACGGAACCACCTACCTAAGAATACCTACAGATCAGATATAACTACGTAGCTGACCTGATCGATGTTGTCAGCGGGTGCGGAACACACGTCACCGTAGAGCGTCAGCGCCTCGTAGAGACGCGCGGCGGCACAGCGACGTACGTAGCGGTCCGCGTAGCACAGGTAGATCACTAGCTGACCGAGCGACTTGCTGCTGACGAAACCACCTACCTAAGAATACCTACAGATCAGATATAACTACGTAGCTGACCTGATCGACGTTGTCAGCGGGTGCGGAACACACGTCACCGTAGAGCGTCAGCGCCTCGTAGAGACGCGCGGCGGCACAGCGACGTACGTAGCGGTCCGCGTAGCACAGGTAGATCACTAGCTGACCGAGCGACTTGCTGCTGACGAAACCACCTACCTAAGAATACCTACACATCAGATATAACTACGTAGCTGACCTGATCGATGTTGTCAGCGGGCGCGGAACACACGTCGCCGTAGAGCGTCAGCGCCTCGTAGAGACGCGCGGCGGCGCAGCGACGTACGTAGCGGTCTGCGTAGCACAGATATATCACTAGCTGACCAAGCGACTTGCTGCTGACGGAACCGCCCACCTAAGGATTTACACACAATTTGAATTCAATTTATGGAAAAGATATTTTATTTTTTGCAAGCGGCGGGAGTGAGCATAGCCACGATTTAAAAATGTTCGCATCATTGAATAGCAATAATAATAGCTATTAAGATCCATTTAGCGTCTATAGCGGCTGCCAAATGGAGTAATAATAATACCTGAATAAGTTGACACAGAACGTTGATGGAATCCAACAGTTTGTAGATATTCTTTCCACCCCTAAGTTCTAATTGCAAGTATTTTAACACGTCCATTGCGAAAGTCGACTCTGGGTCTTCTAATATAGGGCCTATTGAACCTAAAATACCAAACACACATTACACTTTTCATCACTTCCAGGTTTCAAGTAGGTAAATAGTATAAAAGTATGAAGATTGTCGTACCTGAACTTAGCAGCCTATCTAAGAAATTAAATATAGGTCCAGTGATTCTCTTCACGTGCAAATTGTCAGCAAACACTTTTATGATTGTATCACAGATTGATTTCAACATAGCTTTGTTGTCATGTAGAGTATTTAGATATGCGTAGAGAGATTGTGTCGTGTGTTTTACCTGAAAAACAAAATAGATTTGTAACTTTAAATAAAACATTCTTTCATTTAATTTGTAACAAGGTAGGATATAGTCGAAAGATTTTGAAAATATTGTAATTTTGAATGGCAAAGTTTCTACAGATATAATAACTGACACCGTTTTTAAAACTATCTTCACTGCACGTGCTAGTGTTGTATTTTACAGATTGAACAAGAACAATGGGAGAAGAAAATAAATAATAATGAAATGTTTTCTAATCTACGAAATTACTTACCAAGCTTTCAGTCAACTCCCCTCCACTCACGATCAGGCCTTTGATGACGTTATACCTATACTCATCATATGTTAACAGCTGTACGAATCTCGGCATTGTGTGTCCGGGGAACAACCACAGTACTACGTTGGAGTTCTCGCTAGTAGCTTGTTCGGTTTCATCTTCGGGCTCTTTAGGTTTTAGCTCGACCTCCTCGGAGGGGAATATGCGCTTGAGTGCGTCGTGTTGCGGAATGTTTGTTATGATTGGGTCACTGCGAATAAATGTAGTTGGTGGAATATAAGTCCGTTTGGATATAAAGTTACGAACAGGCGTTAACTTTTTCACAAATCGTATCACAGTAATAAAAAAGACATCATCCATTTTGGTCCAAAATCAAAAGTGCCGGCCAAAAAATAAAAGTGCTGTATTCTGATAGAATACGTCCGCCTTAGCATTTATTACTATGGCACCAAAGCTGTAGCACCACTGTGCATCGTAGTATTTGAGTTCTAAAAATATATGAAACGACTGACTTTGATATCAAATACTACGACGCACAGTGGTGCTACAGCTTTGGTGTCATAGTAACAAATGCTAAGGCGGACGTATTCTGTCAGAATACAGCACTTTTTTTTGTTGGCCGGCACTTTTGATTTTGGACCAAAAATATATGAAACGTGGATGATGTCCTTTATCAATATTATTATGTTCATAACAGCCCGACCAAACTACCGGCTGACAAAGACTGGGGACCTTAAATGATTCTAATAAATAAATTAATTAAGGCATAAAATCGAAAAAGTAGGTAGCTCATATTGAGTTGGTGTGAATTTAAGTACTGTATGTAAGGTACCTTTACCTACAAAGGTTAAAGACTTACTTATAAATTAAAGAAGTAAAGATCCTCCCAGCGTGAGCCCTAGTCCTGTCGATTTTCTCAACCGCTTGCTGCGCTATTCCGCACATTATGTTCTTTATGATCTCTGGCGAGTTCAAGTGAGGCGCTTCTACGGCGCATTGGCGGCAGATCGATAACAAACCTTGAATAGGGGAAACTTATATTAGTTAAAATAAGAAGCAAACATTTAATAGAATGAATTTCATGCACGATAATTTTCGCCTAAATATGAAAGAAAGAAAAAAATAAGAAAAGAAAAAAGCTTATTTGTTATACAGTGTGTCCGGGCATGTAGTGATCAAACTTTAAGGGCGTAATCTGTGGACAATTTTATCGGTGAAAATACTTTNCTTCTACTATTAGATAATTTTATTGGCTATCGCATGATATAAAATATTTGCTTATTAATGTTTAGTTACCCACGCTATCACTTGTTTTTGAAGGAAGAGGTGAAAACTTAAAATTAAAAACTTAAATCCTTGTAAATATGCGAGAAATGGGTCAAGCCCCAAATTTAAAGTATTTTCACCGATAAAATTGTCCATAGATTACGCCCTTAAAGTTTGATCACTACATGCCCGGACACACTGTATAAAGTTAGACTGCATCAAGTAATTATAACTTCAACGTCATAAAAAAAGAGAAATGTAAAGGCTATTAGCAAAATTTTTCGTTTTTCAAGTACGAATTTCAAATTATTGATTATTTTATTTAAACTAAAACTTACCAGTCATACTGGCCTCCCTGACCCACGCGCCAATATCGCCCCTCATATCAATAGTATACTCTGCCAGACACTCCAAAAGCGCCCCAACAATCTGCCCGGCATATTTCTCCACGCCGCCCACTATGCCCTGCGTCTGACACACATCGGTTAAACCTGACACCGCGTCCCGACGACCTTCGGCCCACTTTTGTGTACCTTCAGTGACTCTGGTACACTCGATAAGGGAATGTATTATCAGTTCTTGATGCTCGGTGAGCACGAATTTTGGCAATGAACCTGCAAGAATTATTTTGTATATGAACTAAACTAAAGTATAAGTGAACAGATTTTAGTTTGTTTGTCTTTTGACGGGCAATATTTAATTTTGATAAGAAATAAATAGTGAAGGCCGCATACCACCTAACTACTGGACCACGCATCTGGCCAGCAACAAACTCACTTCTTC